TTTAATTCTTTAAATTAAGTAGATTTTATGGAGTATTTTTTGATTTATCTAAATTACATAATGAATTGCAATATTTATATTCGTGTCCAGATTATGTTGGCAAGTCACTCTTAGACAAAAAATATTATAATTAATGATAATCCAAACAAAGATGTACTAAAAGAATTATATGATTTAATATCATTAATTTTTACGGTACCATCTACCAGTGCATCTGTTGAGCATAGTTTTTCAACCATGAAGTGAATTCCTACATTTGAAGGAACACTTAGTCAGAGGAAAGATCATCGTCACTAGCATTGCTTTCCATGGAAAAAGAACTTTTAAATACTTTGATGGAATTAATGACAAGCAAGTTTTACGATAAAGTAATTAACGACTTTGTGGAAAAAATAACCAAATAGAGTTAGTTTATAAAAAATAAAGCGAGTTCTTATATCTTTGTTTCATGCCAATGTATCTATTTTAGAATTAAAATAAATTGTTTATTTTAATTCTAATAAATTGTTTATTTTTGCCATTTTCAGTATTTGTTTAAAATTTTTATGAAAACACAGCTTCCCTATCATCAAATGTCACTGCATGTTACTACTATTATCAGATACTGAATGTCAGTATCTGATAATAGTAGTAACATGCAGTGACATAAATAAGCCAATATTGGCCTAAGTAAATAAGCCAAAATTGGCCTAAATTTCCTATTCAATCCATCCCTAGTATTAAATAAATTTGTGTATGTTATAGTATCATTGATTATGTGCTTGAATTCATTTATTAAAGAACTGTTATCTCCAGTGAGATTAAATTGAATCTTTTTAGTTATTATGCAAAAATTTTAATTAAATATTTAAAACTAATTTTAATATTATGACATTGGTTGTTCTAACAAAAATATTTAAAACTGTTATCAATTACATTTCTTTTATTCTATTTGCCCTGTAGGCACTAAGAGTGCTTTTTTTTCGGACCCACGATAGGGCAGCAAAGAGTATTGCAGCAGTGGCAGCATGGGATCAATCCAAGACACAGGGCATGTTGGATAGAAATGAATCAAAAGACTCATTGAGGGACACAGGTTTTTTATAAGATTTGTCCCATAATCATACAGCCCAATTAGTCTCGGTCTCTTATCCTCATTTCCTAATTTGTCTCTTACCTGTTTCCAGGGGTAATTTCGAGACTGATTTGGTCTGCAGGAAAGATTGATTCCAGTTCTCAACTGGAGATGTTTACTGATCTTCAGCCTTACATAGTTTAAATCAAGAGTTGTGTACTTATCTTTGACAGTTATTATTCCAAGGTGCCAGTTGTTCAAAATTGCAATGATAATTTATTAAAAGGTTTTTTCTTTCAGACTGTTTTGGGGAGAGGGTTTGGACCATGTCCAAGACCTCACAAGAAATAAAAAATATGTTCATTTTTATTGTGATTTCTAAATAAAACTAAAGTAGCATTATCAATAATTAATATCATTTATAAAATCTATGAGAACTGTTCTTTAATAAAAATTTTTCTTTGTGATGTTATTAATACAATACCCCAAAAAATATTTAATTCTGAAATGCTTCTTAAAAACTTCACCTTTATTTTATAAATAATTACTATATAATTATAAAGATATATATAAACTTACAGAATGGTTAGATTATATTGATGATTTTTTTTTTGTTTTTTTTTGTTTTTAGGTTTGGAATTCTTCGTATCCATGTACAGTTCGTTATAGCTTTGATATGAGAGTTTACAGTTGGGATTATACACAGTTTTCTCAATTCAATGAATCAGATACACTATTACTAGTCTCTGGTGTTCATTTTGGAATGCATACTGCTTCAGGAGAAATTGCTGTTTTTAATATACAAGGTAATATTGATATTTTTATTTTTGAAAATTTATTCAATTTATATATATTAAATTATAATTTTGTATGGATAAGCTGCAGCATCAAATAATCTTCACTACCTTATATTTTTTATATCCAGAATTGCCATTGAAAGCATGACACTTACTGGTATGAAGTTTAGAAAATACCATTTAAAACACTAAAATGTTTTTTTGTTTCACTTTCATTAGCAATTCATTGTAGATAGAAATAAAGAACCAAAGAATAATAATCAGATCAATATTATTTGTGCTACATTTTGGCCAAGTATAACATAGTCAAAATCAAGAGTTGCACTATAAATACAGACTTCATATAGTCATTGAAAACAACATATACAAAATATTATGACCAAGTTATAATTTCAGTCAAATCAATCCATCAGAACAAACCAGACATTCATATTCATTTGACAAACAAAAAATCATATACAATATACTTTTTTAATCTATGAATAGCAGACACCCTTGGAACTGAGAAGTTTGTTTGCTATTTAGAGACATCCACTATTTGGAGGTACATACTGGTGGCCATATTGTATTTCAACTTGGTCATTATAAAGTGAAGAATATGGTGGATTATGAAAACATCATATTTGCATTAGGAGTGTGAAAATACCAAAAAGTATATGTAGCATATNTATAAGTATCTACAACAAATTTGCTGTAGATAACTATATATTTGTTTATGGCCAGAGGCGCACTCTTTTTCTTTGGAGGGGCCAATGCCCAAAGAAAAAAAACACAAACAATAGAAAATTTTTTGAAGAATCTTTTCCTAATTAAAATTCATTTTTTTTTAATATTCTGTGATGTATTTTATTCTTGTACTACTAATGAATTAGTGGTCACATAAGGTGTGAAATTTTATTGAATTTGCATTAAAAATTTTTTATCCATTTAATTTGGCTTTCCAAGAGTAAATCCTGTGTGTGTCACTGTGTATGGCTAACTATATATACATTTAGGGCTATATTTCTATTGTAGATAACTATATATTCATAATTCATGTATGTCTGATGAAGGTCATTTAGACCAAAATGCCTATCAGAATGCATTATTAGTGGTATGCATTTCGTAGTTTCATTTTGATGTCCTCAGTAAATGTGATAAGTCTCTGTTATCTCTATGAAACAGTCTGAGATTCATTTATTTGTTTTTTTTACATTTTATTGCTTAAATTTGATATCTAATAAAGCAAAGTTAAATTAATCTTCTAGTATTCCTATTCTGTTAGTGATGGAAAATATTTTAAAAAATCTGAATAAAATGTAATAAAGATTTTGTTTTTGTTTTTGTTTGTTTAGATCATTAGTTCCTTTTAAAGATTGTATCACCTCCTATGAAAAGGAATCATGGGTCCAGATAAACTTTTCATGCACATATTTGTTTCTGGATAAGTTTTTTTAATGTGATAAAATAGAAATGATCCACAGAGATAACAAAGCAAAGACAATTGTAAAAACTTAGGTTACATAATAAAGGAGAAACAAAGACAAAGCTACCAGGTTAATACTTACATAAGTATTTTCTACTCACAGTGACAGATGATAGTCCGTAGATGATAGTGGAAACAAGGGGAAAATTGCAGGGACTTAAGCACTCTCCATTGACAAAAAAAAATTAAAATTTATTCACGATATTCAAATTTCAAAATATTGTTTTTAAAAACATTTATGATGGCAAACATGGTTTACTGGATTATCCTAACACAGTTGAGCACATGTTAACTAAAGTTACTTATTAATTATTGAAATATTTTTAATTTTTTAGTTAACCTTCCTTTGAGCACAGTAGACCCCCCTTAACATGGTATATACGTTCCGTGTTATATGAATTCTGTGTTGTTCGAGTCACTTAAATACATGAGCCAATCACAGGCCGGCACTTATGCAGTTTAGGGGCTATGGCTGTTTGAAAGGTTTTATTCCCTAAAATTAATCAATTCTAGACTAATTTGACTCAAACATTTCCAAATCACGTATAATTTTTTGGGAATAAGCTACATAAATTATGCTATAAACAAAATATTGTAGGAATACTTATTGAGTGAGCACCGTTCGAAGACGCCATTGCTTAAGCTTGTTTTCATCGCGGAGCGGCTCATCGAACAGTGGACGCGTTTCTGATAAGTTATTCTGATGACTAAAGACAAAATTTTAGATAACATAAAAAATTATAAAATTACAGTATTAGACTTACAGTACCTAATTTATATACTGTACAGATGATAGTAAACTTAACTTCCCCGCCTAAACTCTCCGTATATACGTGTGGCGCTGGACGGCGGCAAGTAGTTCAGCTGCTCGTCCACTATTGGTCCAGATTCGACCAATCCTGTTGCGACACAACAATCTGTCTCATTCTTTTACTGTGTTATACGAGTTGACTCAGCCTGGTGGCCCCTAATCCTCTTCCAGTTAAAGCAAACCAACTGTCCTGCTAATCTTTACTACCTACTCAAAGACTACTTACACAAACAGGTCTATCTCCAACAAGGAACACAACACGCAGAAAGGAACATCGTCCGTGGGTGCCTACAGGGTTCAGTCTGCGGACCGTTTCTGTGGAACCTCCTTTTTGACACTTTTCTACAGGAAAATTTCGGACAGGACAATATCACAGAATATGCTGATGACATCCTTATCCTAATAGGAGGAAATTCTCGAGCGGCTCTTGAAAAAAGGAGTAATGAGACTCTAGTCAAGATCCATGAGTGGGGTACACAGCGTAAGATTCAATTCAACCCCAATAAGACAAAGTGTGTGGTCTTTAATAAGCCCGGTGGACCTAACCTATACCTTCGTACTCCTACAATATGCATGAACAACTACTCAATTAAAGTGGAAAAGACCATAAAGTATCTTGGCGTATGGCTGGATCAACGACTGAGTTGGGACGACCACATTAAATACACTGCCAACAGAACCAACATGATCTTCCAGGCGTTCTCTCAGATAGCCTGCAGGAAATGGGGCGTAAACTCCAATACGATGAGTATCATCTATGACTATATATACACGCCTATCATTACATATGTGTGTGGCAGTTGGGGCTGGGCGGCCAAGAAGGTGCACCCCCCACAGGAAGCTAATATCTTCGCAACGAAAAGGTCTCATACTAATCTTGAGAGCATATCGTACCACACCAAACAGTAGTTTACAAGTTATCACTAAAAAACCACCTATAACAGATATTATCAACGCTAAGTATGAGCTCTGGAGACTCAAGACAGGTCACAGCATCAACACCATCAACTATGACATACCAGCCACAAGTTATGAAAAAATGAGCCCGGTTGCTGACCTTGCCGCTCCCTACATCAACGATCATATCAGCACAAATCTTCCTACCGAGCCCGACCTGAAGATCTACACCGACAGCTCTGGGATTAACGACAACATAGGCTGCACCTTCGCCGCCTACAAAAATAATAAGGAAATTTATCATCAAGGATTTCGGCTGGATAGCCTTTGCACGGTTTTCCCAGCCGAGCTAAAGGCACTCCACATGGCTATAAACTGGGCCGAAGAAAATCACAACCAACAGAGCATCTCAATCTACACAGACTGCCAGTCTGCTATTGACCTCATCAACAGTAACAAGCCTCATCCTATTGCCATCGCAATTAAGAAATCTGCTCTTAACTCGAACAACCACTACTTTATTAGCTGGACCCGCGGACACCAAGGAACCATCAGAAATGAACGTGCAGACCAACTAGCTAAGACTGCCACCAACATTAATCTGTGGGAGATCTATGAGGGAATAAAATACAATTATTGATGTGTATGGTCTTCACAGGTGCATCGCCATGCATACGATATTGCATTACTTTCCTTGTAGTTTATAAAATCTCCCAATTTGCTTGCTTTCTAGTGTTTCTAAGGCCCTGATGTGGTCTATCTGGAAGGATTTCTTTATGATGCTGGTGTTGTCCGAGTCTGCCATTACATAGGAGTTGGTGGCATATGTTGCCAGGATGGTGGTGTATTTTGTTTTGGCAATGTTATATTTATGTTCCTTAATTCTTTTTTGTATGTACTGCTTGGTCGGACCAATGTATACCAAATTCTCTGGAACCTATGGTCCTTAACTGGGACACTATACACTCCTGGTGCCCTCAAACTATCAAGTGTGTCTTTAGCATTCCTCAATGGGGATTAAATTGTTTGTCCTCATGTAAGCTATTTTCATGTCCTTCTTTTGTGCTATTTCCTTATATAGGGAATGTAGGTTCTTGTTATATTCTATGACTGTGTGTTTTGCATTAGGGTCCTGATTAGGGATCTCATTGGACTCCCCCTGGTCTGTAGAGGTGTGACGTCCACTTTGTATTTTATAGGAGTTCTGAGTTAAACTTCTAATTAGGTTTCTTTTGTACCCATGGCCTTCTGTGATGTCCTCTAGACGTTTAAGTTCTTTGAGTGTGTCCTCCCATTTAGAGTTATGTGTGAAAGCTCTTTTTGTTAATACCTTGAATGCCGCAACCTTATAGGGATATGGGTCTTCCAAATCTGCTAGTATGTATAATGGAAGGAAGCTGGGTTTGTTTGTGGTATACTTCCATTTCTATATTTCCTCCATTGAGCTGTATGATGATGTCTAAAAAATTTATGCTAGATGCTGACATTTTTAGGGTGAATTTATATGGATTGTTGTTTATGCTGTCTAGAAAATTGCTAAACCAGCCTTTCAATATCTGGCATCACTATTTCGAGTGGGGGTCTCGTTGAGCCTGGAGTATACATCGGTCCATGCGATATCATTTCAATTAGGAAATCTGGGGATTGATGTCATCCCATCATACCAATGGGGTGAAGGGTGCATTCATTTTGTCAGGTTTTTATTTTTTCATTATCCACTCCAATTTCTTCCTGTATTTTTGTGTTAGGTTTCATGTCATGATTTCTTGAAAGAAGGCCACTTTTTTTTCTTCATATAGATATGACCGGTTGTGTTCGAATAAATCATTCTCTGTC